TCGTTTGGAGTCGTCCGCGGTCGGGCCGTCGCCTTAAGAGAGTCGCTGCGGCATACCTCCTCCTCCACCTCCTCCTCCTCCGTAGCCATTTTGGCTCAAGGCTATGAACCGTCCTGACGACCGCGAGTCTTTCGGGGCGACTCCAGAGCGCGAGGGAGGTTCCGCTTTGAGGCCTCTCACAATCCCTGCTCTCCTGTCCCTGGCACTCTTTGTCGGCCTTCACCGCGGGAGTTGGGCCCCCGCCTGCTCTCTCCCCATCTCATCCAAGCTACTTCCGATGGCTGATGGCGTCGCCGCGGGTGAGGCTTCCGCCTCCCAGGCCGAGCTGTTGGAGTTCGCGCCGACCTTCCCGTCCCAGGAGAGCAAGGCGGGCAAGGGCAAAGGTTGCGCCCCTGCGCGCACTGCCAGCTGTGCTGCTCACAAGCGTCGCGCTCTTCCTCCTCATGGTGTGCACGCGGGCGCTGCCGTGGACGACGACATGCCTCCGCGCCTCGACGATGATGACGACGCCTCGGAGGACTACATCAAGCAGTGCTGCGCCGACATGCTTGGCAGAATGCGTGAAGAACTGGCCATCGACATCAGCAAATCTCTCACTGACACCATCAAGCAGAATATTGAAGTTCAGAATAAGCTGACCCTCGAGCTGCTGGACCAGCTTCGTGCGCAACTGGCCCAGCCTCCTGCGGACCTCGACCAGAAGATCCTCTCGATCGTCCGCCCTCAGCTCGACACCACCACTCGCCGCCTCCAGTCACAGCTCGACGCCCAGCAGGCGCAGATCAATGAGACTGACGGGCGCGTGGCCAAGGTTGAAGCTCAGATGCAGGACGTCCTGGCCCAGATGGAGGCACTCAAGAAGGAGCTCCACTTGGCCGAGCAACGCCCTCGCGCACCGCTCACTCAGCCGAAGGGATTCGACAGGGAGGTGGATGCATCGCTGGTGGTGGCCATGGCCCAACGCCCGACTACCACTGCCTGTGTCGAAGCTGAACGACGCCCATGGATCTCCTCCCTCGGCCTTGCCGACGACCTCTACGACTTGGTCCCCATCGGCCCTGTACCGACCAAGAAGTTTCACATCCGTTTCAAGGGCCTCATCGCCGTCGCGTCCAGGATGGCGGCCAAGGTCCTCGGCCCCCTGCGCTCCGAGGGCGTCTGGGAGGAGTCCACTGTCGAAGTACCTGGCAGCCCGCGCTGCCGCATCCACCTGGGCCCCGACAAGTCGCCACGTCAGATTCGCTGCGAAATTTTGTTGCGAAGGGCACGTGCTCTCATCGCCGAGCGGCACCCGAACCTTCGATTGTTCACAGACAGGGAACGTGCCGCACTATCCATTGGCTGGGATCGTATTATGCGCGTGGAAGTCCACCCTGGTAACAAGCCCGCCGAGTTCTACTGGGACAACCAGCAGCTCGCCAAGCACGACCTCGTCAAAGCCGAGCTCGCGTCGCTGCTCGCCCCCCTCGTCGAGCCCGAGGCGGAGCCACGGTGGTGTCTTTGACGTGTGGAAGTTGTTCAAATGTACTTCGCCTTCGCCAGCCTCTCCGGTGTGCTCCATGAGGGTTGTCACGTGGAATGCTCGTGCATTGCTCCAACACGCTGGCAAGAATGGCGCGCGCAAGCTCAACTACTTACTTCGTCTTCAGCCTGCGCGCTCCATCGTGTGCCTGCAGGAAGTCAGGCAAGATGCGCTTCAACTTCGTGAGTTTCTCGGCCCGTTGGGGGAGTCGCTGACGGTGCACTCGTCGTTCTGTGGTGACTCAGGTGCGGACCGTATCCGTGGGGGCGTGGCCATCCTTCTTCCCCAGTTTTGTCAGGCAGCTGGAGAGCGCGTGCGAAGCCATGCGGTGGCTCTTGTGACTGGTCGTGTTCTGCGGGTCACATTTGAGCGTGGTCCGATATGCATGGATATCTTTAACATTCACAATCATGATCTGAAGCGGAAGCAGGTCAGGGAGATCGTCGAGATCATCCTTGAGGCTCGCGCTGCCGCGCTCAGTGCGCCATCCCAGCGGCTCGCGCTGGTCGTGGGCGACTTCAACTTTGCTGCTGAGGAGGCCGTTGTTCTTCACATGCCTCAGGCCGCAGTTCGGCGCGCTGCACGTCAACATCATGGGCAGGCTCAGGTCTGGCGACGGGCTCTCTCGCAGCTCGTCGAAGTGGAGTGCGATCTGGGGTCGCACGATGAGAGAAACTCTAACTCTGAGGCCGCGATCGACCGTCTCTTCCTCTCCCTCCCTGGGTGGATGGTCTGCCAACATCATCTGCAGGCTGCCACTGTCGACTCTGCGGCATCCGATTCTGACGCCGTCGTCTCTGATCACACAGCGGTCGCGGTCACCATTACCCCCCGTGCTGCCCGTCCCCCTGCCGAACGCCCTCTTGCCAAGCATCTATTCCATGACCCGTGCTACCAGAGGCGTATTCGTGCTGTGGTTGATTGTGCCGATTGGGATAGTATGTCGCCTCCGTACCGACTAGAACATGTTAAATATCTCATGAAAGAAGCTGCGCGTGAAGCACGTGATACTGATTTCCGACGGCGCCCCCACCACCCGTCCATCCTGCTGCAGCTCGCCCGCTCGCTGGCCAGAGTGGCGTGGCGTCAAGACGTGAAGCTGGCTTGGAAACTTTTGGAACCCCACCCCGTCTCCTCCGATTTCAGTCGTGTCCAGGGGCCCGTGGCCGAGCTATTGCATCCTGAATCGTTCCATGCCTGGTCCGACCGTCTCCAGTGGGGGGTGGCTGAGCGCGCACGTGCTGAATTGCAAAGAAGTAACGACTCCCCTCAAGATATGCGAGCCACTCGACTACAGTTGCGGTCCTTGGAGAGGCGATCTCGTCTCTGGTCCCCGTTAAATCGACGTGTATGCCTGACGGCAGCTACCGATGAGAATGGGCGTTCCGCACGTGACCCTGCCGAGCGCGTGGACCTGCTGAAGAGCTACTGGGGCCCCGTTTTCTCCAGGAAGCCGTGGGGCCGCGACAGGGCTGTCGAACATGTTGCTCAGTACTTGCCTGCCGTTGATGAGGTGGTTCTCCCCCCTCCCACACCACGCCTTCTTCGGGCTGTTCTTGCGCGTGCCACCGACTCCGCAAATGGGTGTGATGGGCCCTCCTACACGGCGTGGCGCCCCATTCCCTTCGGCGTGACCATCCTCTGGGACTGTCACGAGTGGGTGGTGAGAGGCCAAGCGTTGTTTGATTCTGCGAGTATTACCCTCCAGGTCTTTTTGCCCAAGAACGTTTCTGAGGATGAGGCCCAAGCCGGCCAGGTCACGAGGGGGGCGGACAAAGCGAGGGCGCTCGGTCTCCGCAACTGCGACGTGAAGGTCCTCTCGGTCACCACGAACGCCGCCCTTCGCCCCATCCTCGAACGCGTTGCCCCGCCTTGTCAGAGGGGCTTCGTCCCAGGGGGGAATTTTGGCCTGAACGTGCTGGAGTTGGACGTGTCCAGCCGTCAGCTTTCGCGTGCACCTCACGGCTCTCGGGGCTTACCTATCCTCTACAGTTTGGACTACGGCCAAGCCTTCCCCTCCCTGAATCAGGAGCTCCTGCTGTTTATACTTGGGGATCTTCGTCTCCCAGAGGCCATCCTGATGTTCGCTGGGTTCCTTTATGAGGCCATCGAGGGTATTGCGATCTCCATGGGGCTCCGTGTTCACCTGTACTGGGTCCGCAGCGGGATCATCCAGGGCTGTGCACTATCGGGCTCGCTATATGCTATTGCGTCGTCACCGTTTCTGTACCACCTCGTGCGCGTGACCGAAGAGGCAGGCCGCGGGCTCGTGCGTGCGTGTGCCGACGACATCGGCGGCACTTTGGTGAGCATAGAGGACTTGGCCTGGGTCGCCCTCGCGATGAGGGAGGCGGAGTTGGTGGCGAACCTTGTTCTGAAGATTCAGAAGTGCCAGATTGTTCCCCTGTCGGCCTCCTTCAGCCCTGCCCTCGCTTTGGAGGCTCTTGGGAGGCTCTCCCGCGCTGTACCCCATTGGTCCGCCATGAAGATCGTCTCTGAGCTCCTTTACCTTGGGATTTGGCTTGGGCCCTCTGTAGACCCTATGAGACCCTGGGTTGGCCCTCTCGCGAAGGCGCGGCTGCGGGCTCGAGCAGTCGGGCGAGGCGTCACCCCTGCCAGCCTCTCACCCATCATCTACAATACTCGTATTGCCAGCACACTCTCATATGTCAGCCAGTTCTTTTGGATGCCAAGAGCTGTCCTCGCCTGCGAGCTGGGCGTGCTTGCACAAGTCTACCGTGTCGCGCTGGGCGCCTTCCCGCTGAGTGCGCGGGTGCAGATGGACCTCTGGCAAGGCCCGCGAGTTCTGAGCTGGGCCCATCTCAACTGCGCCCCTGCTGAGGGCGGCCGCCCACACCTTCCCCGAGCACCAGATGCTGCTGGATGGCATGCGGTCCCACGCGGCGGCGCTCGCGGACTCCAGGTCGCTGCACATGGTCGGCTATGGCGCGCTCTACCCTGGCTTATGGCGGAGCCCTGCCATCGTTGAGAACCTTGCTCAGGCCTTGGGGGGGCCCGCTCCTGCGGGTCCTTGGGCCTCGCTCCTTCCCCGTGCTCGCGAGGCTCTTGCCGACGCTGCTGAAGCCCCGCCTGGCGTCCGTCCACGACCTCAACGAGCTGTCCATCGTGCTCTTCGTGACCTCGCGTCCCGGGCTGCTCCCACGCGCGACTTCCTGCGGGCACGGCTTCAGAAGTTCTTCTTCCGACGTCATGGTACCCTCCTCGACCAGATCGATTGGCAGCGTATCTGCGCCACGCTCAACCAATGCCCCTGCTCCTGGGTGTGGGCTACACTGAGGACCTGGTGCGATGGCTGGCTTACTTCCTCTCGCATTCTTCACCCTGCGGGTAGGCGCGGCTGCGCCTTTGGTTGCCACAGTTGCGCCGATTCGCTTGTCCACTACTCACGATGTGTGCGGATGCATGCTGCGTTACGCCGAGCCCTCGGACATGGCTTCCCTCTGGAGCATGCTGAGAGGTGGGGCCTCGCGGCGCCCTCGACTGCCGCATTCGGCTTCATGGCCGCAGCGGTGAGCATGCACAGCACGGCCCGTCTGATCCCCGACTGGCCGATCTCCGAGCAAGATGCACTGAGCGCCGCGCTGGCGGGCGTGAGGGGCATGCGGATGGCCACTACTGCTGTCCTACCTGATGACTCACCACCGCAGTGGAACGTCCGTTTTATGACGCGACGAAGACGGTGTTCGTCTTCCTCCTCAACGAGCTCTTCGTCGTCATCACCCACACCGTCCTGTGGTGACGAGGGCGGCGCGGACCCTGCTGGCGGCCCTGGTCTTACGCCGATGCTGATCCCCGAGCCGCAGGATGAGGACTCAGACGAGGGCGATCTGGTGTCGTTCGACCTCTGCCCGCGCACTCCATTGGCGACGCCTGGTACTCCGTCGACGGTGTGGCCACCCCTGAACGAGTTGGCCCTCTGCATGCCCTGTATGACTGCGACTGGGTACAACCGACCTCCATCGATGTCAGAACGCAAAGTCCTGTCAGCGGGTGCTCCTCGAGCCCGACTGATCAGGCTCATGGAGTAAGTTGCGAGGAGGGGTCTCGCCCGCGCGCTGGATTCAGAACGCAAAGTCCTGAAGGCGGGTGCTCCTCGAGCCCGTCGCCTCAGGCTCATGGAGTAAGTTGCGAGACACTCCTTCTTTGAGGAGCGAGTCTCGGCCTGCGAGCTCTATGTCGGCGGAACGGCTCAGAACGCGAAGTACTGCACACGGGCGCTCCTCGAACACAGTGCTGCAGGCCATCACTAATTGTGAGGATGACGCTTTGGGACCTATCCCGTCTCGAGATGCCAGATGGTCGACCCGCGGCTGGATCTGGTCGACGACTCCGTGGGATGCGCCGTCGTGCTCGCGGGTGCGACCTCCATCGACCAAGAGGACGACTGCGGCTCCAATGACACCGCCCCCATCGATGGCGACCACCACATCGAGCTCTGGACCAGTCTATTATCAGATGCAGGCCTGCGCCATAGATCTTGAGCATGATGTCTTGCGTGATTGTCCTGCGAATTTGAGCCCCTCTAGCACTCCTGAGGCCTCCTGTGCGATCTCTCTGGCCTCCCCCGCGTCTCGACCTTGCAGGCTTGATTGGCCCCTTTCGCTCTCCCCCCGCCCCAACAGTGCTCGCATTTCGCCCTGCTTCGACGACCTGTTTGGGGTCCGCTCGGCGGGCAATCTGGTGCCCTTATGTGCAGGGGCTCTCTGCTCTCCCCGACGTGGAGATGAGAGCAGGCAGCATGTCGTTGCTAATGGTCTCGCCTCTCGCCCGCTGCGCCTGTCCCCCTTACCCACCTCCCTGCGTCCCGAGCCTCCTGCTGCTGCTGCTTCCCCCTTCAGAGAGAGCGCCGCGTCCCCTGGACGCGCCGCCGCGGCGCCCGTGCCCACCGTCGCCGATTTCTTGGGCGACAAGCCAGGAGCGCCCACCGCCCCGCCCCCGCCCGAGGAGGCAGGAGAGCCGTAGAGGAGAGGCTTGGACCCGCTCTCTACGGTCCGCTCCTCCTCCTCCTCCTCCTCCTCCTCCTCCTCCTCCTCCTCCTCCTCCTCCTCCTCCTCCTCCTCCTCCTCCTCCCCCACCCTTGACAGCCTTGGGCCCCGGCGAGGGCCCCCGGAGGCCGACGACGGCCGAAGACCGGCCCCGCCCTGATCTGGTCACGACGCGAGCATGTCTGAGCCGGGGCCCCTCATAGAGGCCTCCCAGACGTAGGTCGGGAGGAGCACGGCAGTCTGTGGACAGCCCTGCGTGATCAGGGTTATGCAGCAAGGGTAGCTCCGCTCGCTGCGGCGCTTCAAACCACGACCAGGCGGCTGCTGCACGCAGAGGTTCCGTTATCAAGCCATGTAAACTCCGGCGCGGCACAAAGCAAGCGGAGCGCTTGAGCTCGCTACTCTTCAAGGCTCGACTTCAACATATCCTACAACCGCTCATGTCGGATTGGCTGCTCCACAGGCGAGGTGTTCAGTTGGCGCACGCCATCGTTTCCGTTCTCATCAACCTTCGCCTCGCAGACCACACCGTGTTGGTCAACTAACTCTGCCCAACCTGAAGACAATGCTGACAGATTTGGCCACGTCAGCAGTGTCTCATGGCCTCGCAATCCATCCAAATTATACGAAAATCGTGACCAAACAATGCCGCACCTGGGCACGTGCAGTTCAGGTGGCAAAGATTGACCTCGACATTTTGCCCCACGCCGGCAAACTTACATACCTCGGCCAGGCAATCACCTTCAACGACGCTTCTGCGAGAGAGGTCCAACACCGCATACAAGCAGCGTGGGCAGGTTTCACAGGTCACAGACAAGAACTCATGAGCAAACGCGACCAACTCAGCCACAGATTGCGACTTTGCCGCGGCGCCGGCATACCCACCATGCGCAGAAACCTGGACTCGAACGGAGCCTCTGGGACAACAGTTGCGCCGAGCACAAAGACGAATGGTGCACATGATCGTCGGGGCACAACGGCGGCACACAGGGTCGTCTCACACAGCACCCACATTAGCGACAGGCAACCAGCATAGATGCGACCTCTGCTGCAACCAGTCAGAAGACTCCAGCGACCACGACCTTTCCAGCAACGCAAACGCATCCTGTGACGAGACCCGCGCATGTGAGAGTGAAGCCAGCCAACCACACCGAGCCAGGCGACAAGCATGGAGGAGCACGACATCCCTGATGTTGCACAGCAGCACCGCAAAGTGTCACGGCGCTGGGCCGCACTAGTTTCCAACCACACACCGACCCGCTGGACATGGCGCGTTCTCAACTGGAACCCCAAACTCCATGCGAAGCATCAGGGGAGGCGACGACAAGGCGGACAATACAAGAGGCGGGACACTGACATGTGGAAATATGTGCGCACAGCCTGCAGCAACCATCCTGCGGCGAAGCGGAACGACACATGGCCAACGATAGCATTGAACAAGGGCTGGTGGGATCTGCAGGAGGATGGTTTGATCAGTACTTCTGGGTAGCGCCGTGAAGGAGCCCAATAGGCTGACGGAGTGAGCGGCCAGGGCCGCCCCGCGCATACCTCTAGCCAGCCCGTCCCTTTGCAGGGACGACTCGCGCGTCGTTCGCTCGCTCGCCTTCGCCTTGAGAGAAAGAGAGAGAGAGAGAGAGAGAAACAAAAAAACAAAAAAACTAATATAGTGTGAGAGAGAGAGAGATAGAAAAAAAAAAAAAGGAGACAGGGGGGGGAGAGAGAGAGAGAGAGAAACAAAAAAAGAGGGAGCGAGCCGGTGCGGCGGCAGCGGCGCGCCGCGGGCAGGGCCATGCTGGCGACACCTGCCGCGACGGTCCACGCCCGGTTCTGCCGAAGCTCGGGGTGTAAACTTCGCGCAGTTGGGCGGGGGTCGATAAAAACGTTGACCATGACCAAAATGTCGCGGGTTCTCGTGAGCGCCGATTTGGGTCGTCCATATCGGCCGTCGCCGAGTCGCGAGGATGATCCACGAACTGGCGCTGACCAAGACGGCCGATCACCAAGATCGATACCGACGTTTCCGCGTTCAGTCTTGGTCAGGTCATGTTCCTTGGTCACCGTTTTCTCTCCCTCCAGTCGTGGTCGTCATCGCTGCCTTTGTCGTCGGTGATCGTGGTGTTTGGGCCACGGATTTTCGCGTTTGGGCCTGCCAAGGGGCATCTCGTTGGCATGGCTGGATCCGCCTCGAGATCCTGGTCAGGACGAACCCATGGGGATGTCCGGAGATCGAGTTTAGAGTCGCCTTCGGCCTTCGTCGTCGTCGTCGCGGTCCGCGGTCCTCCTCCTCCTCTTCCTACTCTTCATCCTCGTCCTGCTCCTCATTTTCCCCCTCCACTGACAGTCGCTACGCTGAAATATGTGGGTTCAAGGAATTCGTGGAGGAGGATCGCCTTGGCCAGAGAGGCCCTTTCCTTCCCCATTTCTCCATTCGTAATCCTCTGACTCTTGAGTTGTACTTATCCGTTCTTATCGCGCTGACCATTAATCATTATACTTCTTCGTTGCCAATATCATGGTCAATGTCGAATTCCGTTTCCGATTATTATTATATCAAGTCTTCCTCGTTCTACGCACCAAGTCAAGTTTGGTATTTTATTTATCCGGCGTTTCCCTCGGAGCTGCCTCCGAGGGAGCAGCGTGTGCGCATGAATGTGTATATCGAAGTCGCCTACGGCGAATCACTGCCGCCTGTTGCCTTTCGGAATCACCCATGTGGCCGAGCGTTGTGGCCAGAGCTCTGCCAAGTTATCGGACCATGTGTTCCCCCAGCCGTTGTGCAAGCCCTTCGGGGAAACGCGGGGGAGAAAGAAGAAGTGGAGCAGATAGAAGAAAAATAGAGAGCAGGAGGAGGAGGAGGAGGAAGAGGAGGAGAAATTGGAGGAGGAGGAGGAAGAAGAGGAGGCGGAGGAGGAGGGGGAAGAGGACTCTCGGGGCTTTCTGGCAGCTTCTTTTGGGCCTCTCGGAGGCCTCTTGGAAGCCTCCTTGGGCCTCTTGGGGGCCTTCGGGGGCCTCTTGAGGGCCATTAGGGCCGTCTTAGGGCACTCCTGGCCCGTAGGACGCGGTCGGAAGCCGTCTTGGATGGCTCTCTGAACCGATTTGGGGCCTTCTTGGAGTGCTTCAGGGCATGCTTGGAGGCCATCTTGGTCGCCTTGGGGACCTCTGGGGCCGTCTTGAGGCTCTCATAGTGCCGTCTTGGGTGCCTCTTGGGACGTTCTGGGGCCATCCTGGTGGCCTTTGGGGCGCTCTGGGGGCGATCTTGAGGAGCTCCTGGGCCGTCTCGGGCCGTTGTAAGACCGAAAAGAAACAAATGCCAACATTCTTCCAGAACCCCCACAAAATCAATGCTTTTGGCCTCTTCAGGCTCTTCGAGACCTCGTGGGCCGTCGGGGAGGCCTCTTCGGAGCCTCTTGGGCCGTCTGGGTCCGTCTTGGGGGTTTCTTGGGCGAACTTGAAGGCATATTGGACTCTCTTGGGCCATCTCTTGGACCATTTTGGAGCCATTTGGAGCAGGAAAAACCTTTGCGACCACCTCGCCCGAAGCTTTCTGGGTGGCCCGCGCGCTGGGCCGAAGCCCCAAGGGGATCTTTTGCAGGAAAGAACCAAATCCAAGCCGTATAGGATGT